AATGCTTATGGAATGTCGATATATAATCTATATTTTCAGGTAAGTGATGTGTACAACTGCAAGAAATAATGTACAACATTTTCATGCACGGGTGAGATAATATATACATATATAGCAGTGATATTTATCGAACTTTTAACGAGGTAAATACGGGGTTATCACTGCGGCAAGGCAATGTTACCGATAGATATGTAGGCTAGCGTGAATATACTATTGAGATGTTAATTTATTTATAAATTATTGTTTAGTTATTGTGAATATATACGTGGATGGTTATTCTGTTTTTACGAAATTGGGTATTAACACAATTATTCAGAATATACAATAGAGATATTCCAATTGGAAAATTAGAACAATAGTGAATAGTTTCACAAAATTTTTGCACTGATATTACAATGTGAAGCCTGCTGTATTTTGGAATGTGTGTAATAAAAATATGTTTTCGATTTCTAAACAAAGAGTCGGTCCACAAAAAATTCTTTGTTCCTTAATTAAAAAGTTCTATTTTATGTATTTTTCTTATTAATGAATAAAATTCTGTTATCTAAAATTTCGTAACTACGTTGCTCTCAGCTCAATTACTTCACGTCACATTTACTTCACTTTATCAGAGAATGTGTTCGACGATTTGAATATATTAATATATTAGTTGAACAATATTATTTATGAATACATTAAACTTGTTTAATAGTTCGGGTGAACCTCGAACTTTTTTGAAGTTTGGTAACTTGAAAAGACTTAACAAGAAATAAAGCATTTCTAAAAATAATATTTCGGCTTATTAACAGGTCAACGCGTTGTCGTTGCATTCAAATATACATCCATACAAACAATAGGCAGCTGTTCTTCTATATTATTAAGCTTTAGTTCCCATAGGTACATATTATGAATAATATAATCAATCAAGATAATGATGTTGTAGCCATTAATCAGTAAATAAATCGTACCTATTATTTATTACAAACTTAAACTTGTGCGAATATTTATTACTTGAAGTGCAGGTTATAAGTCAAACCTTCATTAAAGTCAATCGTTGAGACGCAGATCTATATGAAGAGTGAACGCAGTTCATCGCTGAAATGATAATGATGTCTCAACTAGTACATTATCCGTAATGTAAAATGTGTATTGTTTAGTACATATTTATAAACTATAAAATTATTAATATGTCTCCTTATTATTAGTAATATTTCTCCATTATTGCCTGCTGATCAAATTATCAAATTGCATAGCAATAAAATCAAATTATTATAAATTATGAAAATAACTAATTTTACTTATCAATAGCAGCTGTTTAAATGGTGATAATTTTACATAAATACATTTTTTCTAACATGTAGTTTAACCCCATCAATTCTTTTGTGTATTTTGAGCCACAAAACGCAAGCTCAGTACAAGTACATTGCATTCACAGCCACTTTGTACTCAATAAATGAATGTGTCATATTGACCAAATCACAACACACTTTATTACCCACAACACGAGCAAAGAACGGACATAGCACTGATACGCCCTTTTAGCCGGACCAAACTGGGTCAGGAAGACGCACACAAAAAATTGCATCGCTAATTGGACAAATTATCCTTCATTCCTCTGAGTGTAGACGCCACAAAGCCATTATAAGGCCAGAGAAATTTTTGATGCCGTCTCCAGCGTCTTCATGAAGCAACTCTCTCCATCTGCCCCCAGCCTTCCCTGCTCGCCTTAAACGACCTCCCAAGTGAGCAAACTTAGCCAACTCTTGCCTGCAGAAGACGTGCGAGGTCATAAGGCCTAAAACTAAGGTCATTATAATGTAATATTCACCTTGATGGCAATTTTAACTCGACTTTGGGCTGCGGGAGCTTCGGTGAAGCCCTTAGGCACCCTATTTCGGCGCCACTGCCAGACTCTGTACCGAGCAAACAACCTTCCCTGGGACCTGGCAAGTTGCGACTTAAATCTTCCTTCTTACTTGCCTCGGAACCACTTTTTGAAATTTGTTCAACAAACGTGGCTAGAGTTAATATAAAAAGAGCCATTAAGGCTGGCGACAGCAGCGTAACTGTTCTGCTTTCTGGCTCTCATGTCGAGCTTTGATATTTTATTAGCGAGCACAAATAGGAGTAAGACTTCTCAGGGGCGTGGGTCACCTCGTAATCATACGATTTTTATTTTTACTTGGGTTTTTGTTGTGTAGCAGTGAATGTGTGAGTGTATGATTTTTAATTCATATTCATGTCCTAGCCCCTGAGACATGGATTTCAAGTCTCGAGACCCACGCTCTGAAAACTAAAAGGTGATAACGACCAAATTCCGACGCACTTTCTTACATATAGCACGAACCGAGAGAAATCTGTCCATTTCGTCTTTGACCTTGTTGCTGGGTCACGATGACTCACATAAGCGTAAAAATTGCATAGCTTTTTGGACTCGTCTAACTCGAAGACATTTTAGAACTTCCAATTTTGCGGCAAGATTGAAGAGAACTTTTACTGTTTATCATATTACTATCTTTAAGACTTATAGGTCAAGCCATTGATTGATGATAGCCTTCCGAATATTTTCATAAATCTATGATTATGATTGAATCACATTTATTCTGTACAAGTGGCCACGGAACATAATTACGGAAAAATTTAAACTTGTATAATTCTTAAAGAATTATGAGAATTATGTTTATATATTAGAAATGTATGAACAAAACGCCATATATTAGGATATGAGGTGCACCGTGCCTGAATCGAGACGTCAAAAATTGGTTGATATCGTGGATAATGGTAGGTTTCTTTGAATGAATGCGAAAATCCGGATAAAATTGTGAACAACTTCTCAAATGAAACAAAAAAAATCGAGGGGACTTTTTAAAGCCCCATTGAACAAAATTATAAAATTTAAATATTTAGTAGTCATGAACGGAAGAAACTTTTGATATTTGTTAAATTAAAAAGCTTAGTAATCAAACGTTTCAAGAAACAGCGACTCGTTATAAAGTCTTTTATCATATTTCAGGTCATAATTTTGATGCGAGGTGTGGTTCTATATGTTCGATCTCACAATCAATGAGGGTGATTGTAAGGGTGATTGTGAGCGCCCATTGCTGGAATTATCGCTGCTATAATGCACCCAATGACCTCCCAGGTCTGCGTCTCGTGTACGTATACATTCAAGATACAATATTAACTGCATAAATCTTGTGCAGTTGGTTTCCAGGTACGACAGAAAAAAATATTTTCGAAAGAATTCATTATCTACAAAAACGTTTAAAAGTAGGCTTTGGTCGATTATTGTTAATCTGAAACAAAGTTTGAAGCGTCAAATTTCCGTGGATGAAACAATATGTGAAAACAATATGAAGTTTCAGGTTTTCAAATAAATTGTACATCGATTGTATAACATCGTGATTGAGGTGATTCTTATAGTTTTGTCGCTATGCAGACTAAATTTCTTGCAGCATGCGTCGTCTGGGTGACCAATATGTTAGACACAATGTTACATGATGTTAGAGGCGATGTCAGAAACGATATTAGAGGCAATGGTAGACGCGATGTTGGACGCGATGTTAAAGGTGTTATTTGGCGTGATGTTGGATAGCATTAATTGATTTCTATTTAATTTAAGTAAGAAACTACAACCGCATACCTATAAAAAAATTCGTCAAAAATGTATGCGAAATCATGGGTGTTAACATTGCTACGACAAATTAACGTATGATGAAATTATAATAAATTCACTGAAATTGAAATTTCCTCTGTAAACTAAGCATCGAATAAAAGATAGAATGTTTATAGAATAACACCGATACACAATCAGTTCTCTAACACACCCCCAGCCTGCCGCTCACAAGTCCCTCCCGATCGAACTCGAACGCGTCCAACTTTTCGACTGAGAATTCCATTAATGTGTGGAGTGGGCAATTTTTGGGGGAGGCAGCGCAATCCATTTGGTAGGAATCTTTCCGAAGCTCATTTGCTCATTAGTATCCTGCGTGCAGCACAAAACTTGCGCTCTGCTCCTATTTTTCTACATCCGCCAAAACAAAAGAGCCAAAAAGCCGACGCTGTCGCCAACAAAAATCGCTTTGGAATAAAAATTGGTGCTCGTGCAAAATTTCTATCGTCTCTTGCAGGAAAAATTGGTAGAGAAACTTATTGGAGAAACAAAAGGGACTTTTTTTCGCATTAGAATCTGAAAGTTTTTCGGTCCTACGAGCGCCGGTGATTTGATTTTGCCGCACTCACCTGAACGGAAAAAGAAATAACTGTTCGTATAATATGCTAACAATAATTGGAAGAACAATAAATTATTGTGCTCTTAATACATTAATTAGGAACATATAATGGCATTCATAATCAGCACATTAATAATTGTGTTGTTTGCAGTCATCTTGTCCGTACGAGTGTACAAATCAACGCTGTTTTGACAACAGCAGCGGAATTCGTATTTTTCATTTTATTTTCACTCAAGAATTCGGAGCAAAATATTAAGGAGAGTTAACAGCAAAGGCTCTACTAGATAAATCTTTTATAACATGAAGACTGGATCAGATCAAATTGGGCTGTGAAAAACTGAACTACGGAATTATGTTGGTCAGACGACACTGCAGGGCTCTGCAAAGTTGGTCAGAGGCTTAACAGATCGAGCTGGTCAGAGACATAGCAGAGCTGGTCAGAAGCCCAGCAGAGCCATTCAGATACCCAGCAGAACTGGTCAGAGGTCCAGCAGAGCTGATCAGAGGCCCAGCGTAGCTGGTCAGAGGTCCAGCGTAGCTGGTCAGAGGTCCAGCAGAGCTGGTCAGAGGTCCAGCAGAGCTGGTCAGAGGTCCAGAAGGTCCAGCCGAGCTGGTCAGAGGTCCAGCAGAGCTGGTCAGAGGTCATACAGAGCTGAATAGAGATCCAGCAGAGCTGGTCAGAGGTCCAGCAGAGCTGGTCATAGGTCCAGCAGAGCTGGTCATAGGTCCAGCAGAGCTGGTCAGAAGTCATACACAGCTGGTCAGAGGTCCAGCAGAACTGGTCAGAGGTCATACAGAGCACTTCAGAGGTCCAACAGAGCTGGTCAGAGGTCCTGCAGAGCTGGTCAGAGGTCCAGCAGAGCTGGTCAGAGGTCCAGCAGAGCTGGTCAGAGATCCAGCAGAGCTGGTCAGAGGTCCAGCAGAGCTGATCATAGGTCCAGCAGAGCTGGTCATAAGTCCAGCAGAGCTGGTCAGAGGTCCAGCAGAGCTGGTCATAGGTCCAGCAGAGCTGGTCAGAGGTCCAGCGGAGCTGGTCAGAGGTCCAGCAGAGCTGATCATAGGTCCAGCAGGGCTGGTCATAAGTCCAGCAGAGCTGGTCAGAGGTCCAGCAGAGCTGGTCAGAGGTCCAGCAGAGCTGGTCAGAGGTCCAGCAAATATCCTGACTTTTTCGATAGCGATCGAGATCTTATTTCTAATTTCTTTCCCCATGAATTTTCTCTATTTATCAATCGTATGAGAAATATCCTGACTTCTTTGATATGGACCGAGATCTTATTTCTAATTTCTTCCCCCGTGAATTTTGTCTATTTATCAATCGTATGAGAAATATCCGGACTTCTTCGATATGGACCGAGATCTTATTTCTAATTTCTTCCCTCATGAATTTTCTCTATTTATCAATCGATATGGACGAGATCTTATTTCTAATTTCTTTCCCCATGAATTTTCTCTATTTATCAATCGTATGAGAAATATCCTGACTTCTTCGATATGGACCGAGATCTTATTTCTAATTTCTTCCCCCATGAATTTTCTCTATTTATCAATCGATATGGACGAGATCTTATTTCTAATTTCTTTCCCCATGAATTTTCTTGATTTATCAATCGTATGAGAAATATCCTGGCTTTTTCGATATGGATCGAGATTTAATTTTTGATTTTCTTCCCCCATTAATTTTCTCTATTTATCAGTCGTAAGAGAAATATCCTGACTTCTTCGATATGTATCAAGATTTTATCTTTAATTTCTTTCCCCGTGAATTTTCTTTATTGTATGAGAAATAACCTTTCTTCTTCGATATTTTTGGAGAAACATGTTAGTGGATTTCGAGTGAAAGTTTTTCCAAACCACCTCATCTGCCGAAGACAGCTAGACAACAAAATGAACTACCACTCGAACAGTTTAAATAATTAAATTGTTAGAATAACCTACATTTTTCTGATGTTCTCTGCACTGACAATTTCTTGAATTCTTTTTCGATGTTTAGAAAGAAAAATAAACAAACTTCGCAAACCCACCCGCCCCACACAAACAGTCGCTATTCTATGGCCTGCAAAAGGCAAGAGGAGGCTAAATCCCAAATAAAATCCAGCGAGGTTTGTGAAAGACGAGCGGCCAAAATTAGCCGTAATTCCCTTTAATTGTGCCATAATTGCTGGATTTGGCATCGCAGAGCGCGCTCTCGGCTTATCGATTGGCCCCACGTACATCTACCGTTTCTTGAAGAACACCTCGGCCTGCCGCGCCGTTCGTCCGTCGCTTGGATCAATGAAATATTACTTAGGTTTCTTTACACGAGCAGTCATAATCCCTTAAGAGGTTCTGGAGCTGAGGAGACCAAACACGGGATCCCAATATCAGCTGTTGTGTCCCAGGCCTCCGGGGCCATGAGGGTCCAAGAGAGCAAATCAGTGTCGTCCAAAAGACGGCCTTAGGCTCCTGATAAACCTACGTCCAAAAATTCTGAGGCTGGCAATGTAAGATTATTTCGAGCGTCTTCTGGTCACTGTCCAGTCTTTGCTACGAAAATCTTTTAAGGAAGCTAGCTTCTCTTAGATTTCTTGTTACCTCGTTTTCATTTTGAATCTTTCTTCGGTATTAATGGCATAATGAACGAACACTTGTCCAATGTCTTCTGATCTCTTCGTTTCAGTCCACCTAAAAACAAATTTCATTAATTTTATTGTAATCCTTCAAACAATTGAAATACCGTGACATTGCCTTTCCTAAATCATGTTTTATTTATTTATTTTCAATTGAGGCATTTAGTTGTTGAATTTAATCCTACAGATTCGTCACTTCAATTTTAAAGTCCTACTGTCCTGGATTATTGCACTCACTTGGCACCCGAAAACCGAGACAGAAGCCCAGGCATCATCGGAAATTCAACCTACATATTTCTTGTCATAATAAAATAAATGATTCGAATATGCTGATTTTCAAGTAATCAAAAAGCCGGAGCTGCCTCCGTGGAATATTATTTATTTCAAATATTCGATTATGTACTCAAATTTTTACGTACAGCTGCTTGCAATCATTCTTGAAAACACGTATCTCAATAACAAATCTCTTCTCATTATTATCAGATTGGCGAAGAATCCTCAATTTAAGAAAAAATCAATTACTTTTCTTTTCTTCACTATAACTCGTCACTAAATTTGTGACGTGACTTGGCTGACCAAGCGACGAAAACGTCCGTTAAATGACGGTGCCTTTAATGGTAGACCCACTGTAGATCTTGGATTAAACGGAAAATAATTATTTGTCATTAAATAATGCGGAATAATAATTCGCATGATTACGATTCGAGGAGTTCTGTGAAATTTGAAAATGTAAAATATAATTTGAGGTTAAACAACAGTTCTGCCTCACAGCTTGCGCCAACATTAAAATATTTAAGTGGATATCTTTCTGATGTTTACAAAATAAACTGAAACATCTTCTTCAAAAATATTACTACATGCCGCTTCTAATTTTCTTGTAATCAAATGATTCGTGGGTCCAAACGTGGACGATGTTAGAAACATCACGAACAATGTCAATTGTATATAAAAAATAAAATTTCCCCTCGTATTTTTAGCAACAAGGTCTGCGTGTGTTTGCATATCTACTGTGGTCGACACACGTTATAAACGGCGAAACTTTAAAACTCGGTGGCCGGCAGAGCGGGACGCCGAGGTCGCTTTGGAGCAGTTTTAAGTCGTCATCAGCTTCCAATATCGCTAATGGCAGCCGCTTTGTGAGACTTCCGTCGCCCCGATTATGAGGTAAAAATTTCCTCACACAAGGAAGGGTTAGCAGCGCTGAATATTACGGACGGCAAAACACGCGTCGCGGACAACGCAATTCATTTCCTAAGTTCAACTGAGCATTTTCCTAATTACCATTTCGGAGAGCGCACGCGTGCCGCTGTTACTCATGAAAAAAAAAACAAAAGACGGAAATAATTAATGATAAAATCATTTTGATTATTTCACTTTTAAAAGAAAGAATATAGATTTTACGAACAGCGTCTATAAGTCCGCGACTGTAATTCGTTGGATGGAGTCAATGGATCATGTTTACATAATCCAAAAATCGATATCGTCTCATTCGACATAAATTAGTAATTCGATATAAATTAGTAAAAAAAATCTCACCGAATAGGTGTCTGAATTATTTCATGTGCAGCTTTAGCAATTTCCATGAGTGAAGATACTGAATAAGCAATTATGATGAGTAAAATTGGAAAGGCATTTATTCGTTCTGCGGCTTACATATGAATATCTTGTATCAACTAGCTGCAAACTTCTTACTATAAATACAACGCCAATGCCGATATCAAGAGAGAATTTCAAAGAGGATAACGTTTTCTTTAATTAAAAGAAAATGAATTGAATTTAAAGTTATAATATTTTGAATCTATTACCTAGTGTTTCCTTCCATAATTAGCCGTTGTTTAACCAATATCTGCATGATTAAATAAGAAGCGAGTGCCACACCACTAAGTGATATACAAAAATTAGTGAAATACAACACACCGCATTCATGGTGTGGCTTGTAACTTTATTTGGTAACATAGTTATTCTTAGAGATTTGATCACTGAATAAAGAAAGCAATCGCTAATAACAAGCGATCAGATGACAGACAGAGAAGGTCATTCTGTGACAGATGTGATGCCCTGTATAGCTCAAGAGCCTCGGTCGTCCAGATCGCTATCTTACAGACCTTCGCTTCTGGATAACCAAGTTTCCATTTCTGTTATGCACGAAGATTTGTTCAACCTGTATAAATATATAATAATTTTTATTAACCTCACGCTTCTCGCAGTTAATTGTTGTTCAGAGTTTAAGTCAAGAACTACGCTTTCATCTCAACTTTACCGTGAAACGAACATCGCTCAGATGTTGGGGCTGTCGTAGGGGTGGAGTGTTTCCCCTTCTCCTCATCTCTGGTTATCGATCATTAAGTGCATTAAAGCACGGGATTTAGCTCTCTTCATGCGAGCTTTAGACAAACAAGTTACTTAATGCGTTCCTACGTCGGCATCAGTTTCAAGAGGCCGTTAAAAAGGCGATCGCTTCGATGAAGAGAGGCTTTGGCCTTTAATGCGCTTTTGCTTTGTTCTGCACTGCTGTTTCGGCGGAGACTGCATTAAACGTTCCTGTTTGGGACCATTTCTCGGGACGGCTGGGAACTTTGTGATTAATTAATAATGAGGATCACCATCTATGCTAAGAATATTTAGAATATTTATTGAGGTAATTTTATATAAAATTCCACTTTTATTTATGCTCGGTTCAAAAACACCACTGAGAATATTGCTGCAGAAAATAATGGGTTAAATGACGAACTAAATTAATAATGACTAATTATCAGTTACGAATTTTCAGAAAGGTTGAAATAAATGGTTGAGTAAAAGAAACAAATATTTTATTCTGTAGGACTATTTATGCTACAACTATTTAAATCGGAGCGTTTACATTGCGTTCAATATAATTGCTTTCTTCTGCAATTAAATATTTCGAGCATACATAACTTTTTGTGCCAAACATGGAAATTAACAGCCTTTAAACTGTCTCACAATCAAATGCACATCATCAACTTTATTGCCTCTCTTGAATATAAAAAAATATGTCTAATTCAGAAGATATAGTAACTTCTGCATCAATACTTGGTTGCGTTCATGTTTCAGGACTTTGTTTTAAATTAAACTTAATTGAATGGATAATTAGAGTTAAAATTTATTCATGACTGCCCGAATAATTTTTTTCAATGCGTATGATTTTTTCATGTCATCGAAGATAATTTACACTACATTAGTCAGTCATTGCTGCCTCACAGAAGTGATCGATAATTATAATGTGTCCAAACGGCGATGCATTTTGAGCGCATTTTCTCATTTGTGAAAAAAACACTATTGTGCTCGCCATGTCCGTCTGTCCGTCCGTCTGTCTGTCCGTCTGTCCATCCGTCTGTCCGTCCGCCAGTCCGTCCGTCTGTCCGTCTGTCTGTCCGTCTGTCTGTCCGTCTGTCCGTCCGCCTGTCCGTCCGTCCGTCCGTCCGTCTGTCCGTCTGTCTGTCCGTCCGTGACTTCACGCTTTCGTCAACGAGAAAATGCGCTCTCTGTCACTCACTGCAGTGAGTACTGAGTTATATTTTTTGCTCTTGGCTAAGTCCGCTGACCCAGTTTAGCAAGGCAGAAGAGCATTTTAGGGCTACGTCC